AGTGCTGAAATGAACTAAAGACATGTGCCACCACCGCTGACTAGAGCATACAAATCATGAACTACAAGACTAAGATGATCAGTAACAGTATCTGTGTGAACCTGCCCACAAGTCTGTTAAATCATGAACTATAAGACTAAGGTGATCAGTAACAGTATCTGTGTGAACCTGCCTACAAGTCGGTAAAAATTGAATGATAACAATTATCTATGTAAATATCCACAATTTCAGAGAATTATGGAAGAAAATGCTAAAGATGTTTTGAGAGACTGTTATCTACAACACTTCGGAGCCTGACTAAAGAGGGCTCAAAGTTAAGGGCACTGGCTGCTCTTCCAGCAGACCCAGATCCAGCTCCCAGCATCCATGTGTGGGCTCACAATCATCCTTAACTCCTGTTCCAGGAGATTTGATGCTATCATGACCTCTGGAACCACCAGGCACACACACAGTACATACACAAACATGCAAGCAGAATACTCACACACATAAAATAAAATCTTAAGAAACAAATTAGAAAAATACTTATGTAGGGAATATTTTATGTAAGTGCTATAACAGAGCTAACCTAACTACTATGAAATATCACAATTATTTGAAAAATATTTTACTTTCAGAGTGTGCTGGTACACACCTTTAATCCCAGGAGGCAGAGGCTATCCTGGTCTACATAATAGGGAGTTCCAGAATAACCAGGGCTACATGGAGTAGAGACCATCTCAAAAAAATTTTTTTACAGTTTTGAAATTTCAACTACTCAACTGTGAATACTCCAACCATAACTATTATATTATTTCGATATATTATAAAATAGTTGTTATATTCTAATTGAAGTGCTCCATATTATATTCAGTTGGTAATACCCACTAGCAGCACCTCACTCAGTCAGAAAGATGACAGACTTGACGGACTATGCATCACTCCTCTACTAGGAAATGGAATGCCTAAGGTACCCACCACTAAGTAAATGCTAAAGTAACTGCTATAGTTTAGTATGTTCTATGATATGAATGGTACATAAAGCTTAACATTTTTTTTTTTTTTTGGTTTTTCGAGACAGGGTTTCTCTGTGGTTTTGGAGCCTGTCCTGGAACTAGCTCTTGTAGACCAGGCTGGTCTCGAACTCACAGAGATCCGCCTGCCTCTGCCTCCCGAGTGCTGGGATTAAAGGCGTGCGCCACCACCGCCCGGCCAAAGCTTAACATTGTAATATACATCCATCACTTATTTTCCTGAAAACTCAAACTGTTGCGAGGATCAGCAGAGATTAATAACAAGAACCTATAAAGAACATTGCAGAAACAAATGTTACAACAGCAGCAGAAATACAAGTCATGTGGTCGACTAAAGATAACTTCAAGTTCTTTCTTACTCCTACTGAGAAATGAGACACATCTTTCTCATGAATCTGGGTGCACCTTAGAGATTTGACTGATTTAATACAGGACATAATCACAAAGTCAGGGAACTAGAAGTTTATTTCCAACTGGGTTGATTTTATTTTGTTTTTGTTACACTAAAGTTGCTTTTGATGATTTGGTATAAAATGGAAAACAGTTCTAACTATACTGTAAGAAAAGAAAAAGGGAAAATATTAGTTCAAATTACTCTTATTCCTTTCATATTATACTTCTAGTTTTGATGAAATGTGAAATTAGGCTAAGCAAACTCCTATGAATGGTTATAGGATGACCCTCATCTTTTGGGATAATCATGTAAATAAATAGGATGAGAACTTCAGTATTTTAAGCTCATCAATCATCACAGAGCAATAGTTCCTAAATCTAGTACCACACTCTCAATGATGTAAAATCCCATCAGGTGGCAACTGTGGCACATACCCTTTGTCCCAGAACTGGGAGGCAGAGGCAGGCGGATCTTGAGTCTGAGGACAACTTGATCTACAAAGCAAGTACCACAACTGGAGCTACACAGAGAAATCCTGTCTTGGAAAACAAAATAGATAAAAAATGACCCCTTAAAATGTTAGCATACATTTTTTTTCAAGTCAAAAATTCCTAAAAGAAGCACTATTTCATACTGATGCACATTGCTTTAATGTGTAGCTCAATCAAAAAGACTTGTTTTGCCAGGCAGTGGTGATACATGCCTTTAATCCCAGCACTTGGGAGGCAGTCAGGTGGATCTCTCTGAGTTCAAGGCCAGCCTGGTCCACAGAATTTCAGGACTCAATGACTCAATAGCTACTGAGAAACACTGTCTCAAAAAAAAAAAAAAAAAAAAAAAAAATTTGTTTTGCCAGTTCTGGTAGTAGACATCTTTCATCTTTAATTCCAGCACTTGGGAGGCAGAACCAGGAGGATCTCTCTTGAGTTCCAGGACAGCCTGGTCTACATAATGAGTTCCAGGACAGCCAAAACTACACAGTAAGACCTTATGTCAAAAACAAAAAAAAAAAAAGAGGGCTGGAGAGATGGCTCAGTGATTAAGAGCATTGCCTGTTCTTCCAAAGGTCCTGAGTTCAATTCCCAGCAACCACATGGTGGCTCACAACCATCTGTAATAAGGTCTGGTGCCCTCCTCTGGCCTTCGGCATGCACATAGAATAGACTATTGTATACATAATAAATAATAAATATTAAAAAAAAGAAAGAAAAAAGACTTGCTTCCATTTTTCTGTCATATTTCTAAAAATCTTCACTGACCATCCATGAAAGAATGACAAAATTTAATTAATTACACACCAACTAGCCAGGTATGACAGCAAACTCTAATCCCAACAACTCTGCAAGGCTGAGTGAGGGAGGAGTATTCCAAATCCAAAGATAGCTTGTGCTACAGAGTCAAGTTCAAGACCAACCTAGGGGGGCTGGAGAGATAGCTCAGTGGTTAAGAGCATTGCCTGCTCTTCCGAAGGTCCTGAGTTCAATTCCCAGCAACCACATGGTGGCTCACAACCATCTGTAATGAGGTCTGGTGCCCTCTTCCGGCCTGCAGACATACAGACAGAATACTGTATACATAATAAATAAATATTTTGAAAAAAAAAAAAAAAGACCAACCTCGGCAACTTAATGAGACTAAGCAGGAGAGAAGGGATTTGAGCTTAGGGATACAGAGCCACGTCCAATGCCCAGTAAACCCACTGGGGTGAGTACTACATCTAGTGCAGTTTCACAGGCCCTGAAAACAGCCTGTGTCCTACGTTCTTCATATTCTTAAATGACGTGAGTTCAAATTAGAGCAAAAATAATTGTAAAACTTATTCCATAACTCTTTCATCAGGCCAACACGCCTTCTAGTTTCTTCTAAAATAAAAGGCTGAAGAAACTAAGCTTTTACAGCTGATCTTTCCTCCCTTACTTGTAACTAAGAAAACAACTGTCTGAGGAGATATTCATGAAGTCATTTCTATCCAGATTAAATAGAAATTAATCCAGATTATTAATAATCAAATCCACCCCACAACTAACCTACAGCATGAGTAGGCTAAAAATTAGAACCACCCTGGCCAGGCAGTAGTGGCGCCCACCTTTGATTCCAGCACTCAGGAGGCAGAGGCAGGAGGATCTCTGAGTTTGAGGCCAGCCTGGTCTACAGATCGAGTTCCAGGTCAGTCAAGGCTACACAGAGAACCCTGTATTGAAAAACAAACAAAAAAATTATAATAAAAATAAAAATAAACAGTCCAACTACACTGTAGAGTTGAAAGAAAAAGTTTACTGATTATCACTATAAATGTCAAAAAAATACTTTGAAAATTCAAAGTCGTCTAAGCAAACAAAAGAAGACCAAAAAAGTTTTTTGTTTTGTTTTGGTTTTGGAGACAGGGTTTTTATGTAGCTTTGGAGCCTGTCCTGGAACTACCTCGTGTAGACCAGGCTGGCCTCGAACTCACAGAGATCCACCTGCCTCTGCCTCCCGAGTGCTGAGATTAAAGACATCCACCACCACTGCCCAGCTCAGACAAAAACTTTATGTATCAAAAACTACCCACAAACGTGGTAAAAAAATAACAGGATGAAGAAAAATTTAGGTGGCAGTGTTTCTATTTGAAGGTAAATAACCATGCAAATTCTTGACAGCGTTTCACTTTTAATTGGAAGTTTTCTGTAAAAATATTCTACAACTGCACAATACAGTTTTTCTCTTTTCTCTTTATCACCTGGAAGATGGGATATGGGGACGCATATAATCAAGATACATTGTTTAAACGTATGAAATTGACTGTGAATAGGGAAAAAAAAAGGAAAGATGTTTTGTTTTGGAAAAAGTCAATCATCTGCAGGCTAATGCTAGATGAGATGGCTTGCTGGTGGTAGGACGCGAAACAGTTTCGTTGTTTCTCGGTTATTCTGAGCACTCCCATAGCTAGAGAGTTGATGGACCAATCCCGAGTAAGAAATGCAAAGTACAGGAAAAGAGTCGACCGCTCCGCAGCCCCAGATGGAAAAAAAGACTCAGAAGGAACAGCGGCGGACCGGCCCTCCCCGCAAACACAACGGAAAGCGGCTGTCTTCTGGGTTCCCGAGAACCTCAGGCCAGGCTCCCTCGCCGCCCCCCCCCGCCCCGCCCCGCCCCACCACCGAAGACCCCAAGTGGAGCAGCGCCGCTCTAGGGGCCACCTACCCTCAGCTAGGGCCGCTCTCCCGTTACATAACTAGGCCCGGGGCCCTGCTCCTGCCATCGGTCGGCTCGAGGGAAACGGCCGTTTCCCCGAGGTCGCTCCCGGCGACTGGGGAGCGGGCCCAGGCCCCCAGCGCACCCGCAGGAACCCCGGAGCCGTCGAGAGAGACGCGGCGCCGGGCAGCGGGACCGGGGGGGGGGGGGGCACCGCGAGGGCGGCGGAGGGTGGGTGCGCCCCGGAGCCCCGCGGTCCCCGGCGGCTCGGCCCCGTTCGGCCCCGTTCGGCCAGGCGCCCCTCGCGGCCCCCTCCCCACCGGCGGCCCCCTCCCCCAGCCGCATCCCCTCCCCCGCGTCCCGGTGCCCGGCCAAGCCCGCGGCCGACAGCCCGGAGCCCCGAGGCCCCGGCCCGGTACCTGATCAGACATGGTGACGGTGGATTCCCCGGGGGTCTCCGCACCGCAGCGGCCTCCGGCAAGCTGAACCTCACTCCGAGGTTTACAAATCTGTCTCTTCCCCACAGCACAACACCGCGGCTGCAGGGACTTCCGCTACGTCTTGCGTTACTTCCGCTGCGCGCAGAAGAGCGTTGGGGAAGACGGGAAAAGGAGGCGGGAAAGCGCCTTCTGGGGAGGCCGGGGGCGTCCGACTTGCAAAGCTGCTTGCATGGAGCGAGAGACTGGTGGATTGTACGGCCGGCGGGAGAACCAGGCCTGCTATCTCAGCCCCTCTGGAGACCAGGGCTTCGCCACCCCAGGCTGACTGTCCGGGTCAAACTGACGCCCTAGACTCCACCCTCTCGGACACCTTGCGCGCCTGAGGGCCGAGCCTAGATCGGTCTTTGTCTCCTCTTCCGTACGCCCCTGAGTACAGTGAGTTCCCGGGATAAAACTTTTACTACCTCCTCTTGCTTGCTGCCGGCGCACTCATGACTTCGATTTAAAAACCACAACGAAAAGACGACCCCTTGGGACACACTTTTTGTTCTGTTTTGTGTTTTGAGACAGCGTCTATCTAACTACGCAGCCCTGGCTGTTCTAGAAGTCAACTATGTACACCAGGCTGGCCTGGAATCCACAAGATCCTCCTGCCTCTGCCCCCAGCTCTAGGACACAGTTTTGAGGGCTATAGATAACTAAAATGTTGTTGAAAGTTTTTAAGTTGTAGGCAGAAGGAGCTACCCTCAACCCATTAATTAGTTGCCTTTCGTCACAGGAAGACTTTAAATTCTCTGACTACTACTATAACCTTCTTGCACAGCATTCATTGAGGATTAAAAATAATCCCAGCACTCGGGAGGCAGAGGCTGGTGGATCCTTGCGAGTTCGAGGCCAGCCAGGTCTACAAGAGCTAGTTCCAGGACAGGCTTGATAGCTACAGCAAAACCCTGTCTCCAAAACAAAAAGAATATATATAAGTAAAGGGAATAAAATTGAAAGTTCTAAGATAAATCAATAATCCTTCACACTACAAGACAGTAGTAAAAGGATCTTTTCTTTTTTTTTTTTTTTTTTTTTTGGTTTTTCGAGACAGGGTTTCTCTGTGGTTTTGGAGCCTGTCCTGGAACTAGCTCTTGTAGACCAGGCTGGTCTCGAACTCACAGAGATCCGCCTGCCTCTGCCTCCCGAGTGCTGGGATTAAAGGCGTGCGCCACCACCGCCCGGCCAAAAGGATCTTTTCTATAGTTAGTAATGAGGTGATTAGAGATGTCCCAGCGATCAAAGAGCACTTGGTTGTTCTTCCAGAGAACTCTGGTTTGAGTCCCAACACCCACATACTCATTCACAACTACCTGTAATTCCAATCCCAGAGAATCCAATGCCTTCGGTCAGCACCAAGCCAGGCCTGCACATATGGCATAGACATACACGCAGACAAAAACACCCATACACATTAAACATTTAAAAATTTATAGTATAATTAGTAATGAGACTACTGAACATTCAGATGCAAAAGAAGGAATTTGGAATCCCTATCTCACTGCAAATGCAAAATTAAAATGTCTCAAATGTGTGTATATATAAGACTGTCTTAGTTAGGATTTCTATTGCTGCAATGAAATGCTATGACCAAAAAATCAAGCTGGGGAGTAAAGGGTTTATTTGGTGTACACTTCCACATTGTAGTCAGTCCATCAGTGAAGGAAGTCAGCACAGGAACTCAGACAGGGAGGAACCTTGAGGCAGGAAGTGATGCTGAGGCCATGGAGAGGTGTTGCTTACTGGCTAGCTCTCCAAGGCTTGCTCATCCCAGGGGTGGCCCCACCCACAATGGACTGGGTTCTTCTATATCAATCACTAATTCAGAAAATGTCCTATAAGCTTGTCTGCAACCTGATCTTATGGAGGCATTTTCTTTTTTTTTTTTTTTGTTTTTGTTTTTGTTTTTGATTTTTTTTTCGAGGCAGGGTTTCACTGTGTAGTCCTGACTGTTCTGGAACTTGCTCTGTAGGCCAGGCTGGCCTCAAGAGGATCACAGAGATCCTCTTGCCTCTGCCTCCCGAGTGATGAGATTAAAGGCATGCACCACCATTGCCAAACTGGAGGCATTTTCTTAATTGATGGCCCCTCCTCTCTGATAACTTTAGCTCCTGTAAAGTTGACATAAAACTATCCAGCACAAAGACCTAAAAGTAAAGCTCTTAAGAGAGAATATAAACAAATCTTTTTATATTTGTTGATTTTGCTTTTGGAGGCAGGGTGTTTTTATTTGGCCCAGGCTGTCCTGGAACTCAGCTCTCGCAGTGTCGGCCTCCCAAGTACTACAATTTCAAGTTTACACAACCCCACCCAGCTTGGATTAGATCAATGATAGATTTTCAGATATGACACCAAAAACAGAAATAACTAAAGGAAAATTGAAAATCCGGAGTTCATCAAAAGTTTAACTTTAGTTGTTCAAAAGATAGCAAAAAGAATGAAATATTTGAAAATAATATATTTGCCAAAGACCTAAAATCAAAATATATAGAGAAATCTATTACAACTCAGCAATAAAAAGACAACCCAATTTAAAAATGGCCAATAGGGCAGACACTTAGCAGCACATATTGGAAAGATACAGCCAAGATTACCATAGCCCCTGTGCAAGGCTGACATGAAAATCCGTGAAGCAGTACATATTATTATATATTATGCTGAGGCCATCCCCTCGCTGTAGGCCTCCATCAAGAACATCGAGTGACAGGTCACCCTGACTTGTCCACTTCAGAGAGCTTTGTCTTTGACTTGCTTTGATGGTGGGTGTTTTACCAGCATCCCCAGCCCTAAGAAACAGTGTCTGGTCTGTTAATGATGACAATAAAGCAGACTCTGATTTTCTTTTTGGAAACTGTCCTGAGCCAGGCAGTGGTGGCACATGCCTTTAATCCCAGCACTCAATTTTGAGGCCACCGTGGTCTACAGAGCAAGTTATAGGTCAGGCTCCAAAACTACAAAGAGAAACCCTACCCCGAAAAGCCAAATAAATAAATAAATGAAAATAAATACTGTCCTGTGGGCGTAGATATTTTCTCAATGAAAATGCACAAATGGAGGGCTGGAGAGATGGCTCAGTGGATAAAAGCACTGCCTGCTCTTCCAAAGGTCCTGAGTTCAGTTCCCAGCATTCGCATGGTGGCTCACAACCATCTGTAATGAGATCTGGTGCCCTCTTCTAGCCTGCAGGCAGACACAATACTGTATACATAATAAATAAATAAATCTTTTTTTAAAAAAAAAAAAAGAAGAAAATGCACAAATGGCTATGAAAAGATGCTCAACATCACCTGCCATCACTGTCAAAAGGACAAGCAGCTCAGTGAGCATGGCTTAGCCTGTATTAGTACCAGCCTATGCTGTATAAGGAGAAGTTGTCTGGGGGAAAACCAGCAATAACAACACGGACTGAAGCATGTGCCCAGGTCTAGGTTTGATCTCAAACAACGCAAAAAAATTTTTAAAGAAAATTACAAAGAGATACCACTTTACACCCACTGAAATGTCTAACTGTATGAAAGATAATAACCAGTAGTGCCAAGCCTGTGCAGAAATTGAAACACACATACACAGGTGGTAGAAATCACCTTAAACTGTAAAACGTAATCATATGACCTAGCAATTCTTCTCCCACATACTCAAGATGCAAACATACAGCCACGCAAAACCAAGTGCACAAAGGTTCACACAACGTTATTCATAATAGCTGATTGTCAAGCAATAAATGTGTGATTTAAAAAAACAAATCTTGGGCTGGAGAGATGGCTCAGCGGTTAAGAGCATTGCCTGCTCTTCCAAAGGTCCTGAGTTCAATTCCCAGCAACCACATGGTGGCTCACAACCATCTGTAATGAGGTCTGGTGCCTTCTTCTGGCCTGCAGGCATACACACAGAACATTGTATACATAATAAATAAATAAATATTTAAAAAAAAATAAAAAAACAAATCTTGGGGGCTGGAGAGATGGCTCGGAGGTTAAGAGCATTGCCTGCTCTTCCAAAGGTCCTGAGTTCAATTCCCAGCAACCACATGGTGAGTCACAACCATCTGTAATGAGGTCCAGTGTCCTCTTCTGGCCTGCAAGCATACACACAGAAAGAATATTGTATACATAATAAATAATAAATATTAAAAAAAAAAAACAAAGGTCCTGAGTTCAATTCCCAGCGACTACATGGTGGCTTACAACCATCTGTAATGAGGTCCGGTGCCCTCTTCTGGCCTTCAGGCATACACACAGAATATTGTATACATAATAAATAAATAAATATTGAAAAAAAAACAAATCTTAGATGGAGAGATGGCTCGGTGGTTAAGAGCACTGGCTGCTCTTCCAGTGGACCCAGGGTTGATCGCCAGCACCTACATGGGAGATAACAACCATGTAACTCCAGTCCCAAAGGATCCACTGTCTTCTGGCCTCTACAAGCATTATACACACAGAGTGAACACACACATGCAGACAAGACACACACATAAAATTATATATATATATATATATATATATATATATATATACATGTTCAGTAAGATAGCTTATTGGGTAAAGATGCTTGTTACCAACTCAGAGGATGTAAGTTTGATCTCTAGGGCGGACGTGGTAAAAGGAGAAAAACAATTTCCTCAAGTTATCTGCAGACAACAGGAACATTCCTTTACCTGCTCTTCCAAAGTGAAGATGTCACTGTTTTTGTTTCAATAAAAAAATCAATGGCCATTAGCTAGGCAGGAAGAGGTCAGACAGGTCTTGTGGAGAGGAAAGGCAGAGTCTTTGGCCAGGCCCAAAGGCAAATGGAGATGAGGTAACAAGCATGTGGCAGAATGTAGTTTAAAAAATATTAAACTGAGTTTTAAGAGCTAGTTAAAAACAAGCCCCCCCTCTTTTTTTTTTCAAGACAGAGTTTCTCTGTAGCTTTGGGCCTGTCCCAGAACTAGCTCTTGTAGACCAGGCTGGCCTTGAACTCACAGAGATCCACCGGCCTCTGCTTCCCAAGTGCTGGAATTAAAGTTAAGCACCACCACCGCCCGGCAAGCCAAGCTTTCATAATTAATAATAAGTCTCTGTGTCCCTTATCATGAGCTGGAGGCCCAAAAGAAAAGTGTCTTCAGTTGTCTTCTGAACTCCACATATACACAAATAAAATGTACTTTAAAAAGAAAAACCTTAAGGCTGGGCGGTGGTGGCACATGCCTTTAATCCCAGCACTCGGGAGGCAGAGGCAGGCGGATCTCTGTGAGTTCGAGACCAGCCTGGTCTACAGAGCTAGTTCCAGGACAGGCTCCAAAACCACAGAGAAACCCTGTCTCAAAAAACAAAAAAAAAAAAAAACCTTAATATGATGGAACATTATTGGCGTTATAAAAAATGAAGTGCTTATACATGCCACAATATGGATGAAGTTTGACTCACTATGCAGAGTGAAAGAAGGCAACTCCCAAACATGATTCAATTATATGACATGCTCAGATAGGCAAATCAGTGGCGACAGATTACTGAGACTGCACCAGCCTCTCACCAGGGCCAGAGAATATGGAGCAAGTAGAGAGCAACACAGTCTCACTATGTAACCCATGCAAAATACAGGTTCAGGGGCCAGCTGGATAATTCAGCAGGACTTGCAAGTGTAACAACTTAAGTTTGATCCGTAGTACTGGCAGGGTAGAAAAGAAAATTGACTCCTGCATGTTTGCTCCAGCATAACATAGGCCATGCTCCGTGCATGCCTGCACACTTATAAATAAATGTAATTTAAAATTTCTTTTTTTTTTTTTTTTTTTTTTTTTTGGTTTTTCAAGACAGGGTTTCTCTGTGGCTTTGGAGCCTGTCCTGGAACTAGCTCTGTAGACCAGGCTGGTCTCGAACTCACAGAGATCCGCCTGCCTCTGCCTCCCGAGTGCTGGGATTAAAGGCATGCGCCACCATCGCCCGGCTTTAATTTAAAATTTCTTGAGGGTTGGGGAGATAGCTCAGAGGTAAAGAGCACTGATTGTTCTTCCTGAGTTCAAATCCCAGCAACCACGTGGTGGCTCACAACCATTTGTAATGAAATCTGGTGCTATGGTACATGCAGACAGAACACTGTATATAAAATAAATAAATCTTTTTAAAAAAAACATAAAACGTTTTAAAATAATGTAAGACAGATTCAGTGGAAAGGGAGAGGGGTAAAGGGAAGAGGAGACAAGAAAGAAAATGAGGCCGGGCGGTGGTGGCGCACGCCTTTAATCCCAGCACTCGGGAGGCAGAGGCAGGCGGATCTCTGTGAGTTCGAGACCAGCCTGGTCTACAAGAGCTAGTTCCAGGACAGGCTCCAAAACCACAGAGAAACCCTGTCTCGAAAAAACCAAAAAAAAAAAAAAAAAAAAAAAAAAAAAAAAGAAAGAAAATGAGGTAGATGGATATGCTCAAAGTACATTAAAACATATACGGAAATGTTCCAATAAAGCCTATTTGCACAATTACTATATGATGTTTTGTAAATCTAAAAGATTGTTTATTCAACAGGGGTTTTTTGCTTTCATTTTGTTTTGTTCCATTTTGAGACAGACTCTCACTTTGTAGACCTGGCTGGCCTGGAATTTACAATGTAGTTGAATGCATATGCAGAGATCTACCTGCCTCTTCCTCCTGAGTACTGACTGGGATTTAAGTGACCTGTTACCACTCCTGGCTACTTGTTTGTATTTTGGAACATGTTCTCATTAGATAGCCTTTAGTTGACTTCAGATTCATGATAGAGATAAGCTATTTTCAAACTTGTAGAAATCATCCTGCCTTCCTCCACTTCTCAAGTGCTAGAATTAGGTGTGCTCTACATGTCCAGAAAAACAGATCCATTAATAATCGCTATACTACAGACTGAGGGGAGTTTACTGGTGAGCACTGACTTCTAAACAGGCAGCTGTGAAAAGACTAAGGCTTTGTTTGCAACTATGTAAGAAGAATGTATCTGCAGCTGTTGTATTTTTAACTTTGGAATTGCAAGTAATCCCAAAGTCCTCATTTATGCTCTTGGTTAGCTCTGCTGTAAAAAGCACAAAAGAGATCTCAGCTCTGTGGGGTCTCCTCCCAACATACGATTGTTCATCCCACCTGTCTCAAGCTCAGACCCAGTCTTGTTCAAGACCAGCCTGGTCTACAAGAGCTAATTCCAGGACAGGCTCCAAAACCACAGAGAAACCCTGTCTCGAAAAACCAAAAAAAGAAATAGCCACCATACTAAGTAAAAATGGCTGCATTTCTTCACAAAGAATATTCAAATGATGTCATTCAGTATTGAAACTTAACAAAATTAATGTTAGAGTTTCTTGCTGACATTTTAACAAATTACCACGAACCGTGACTGGAATCTGAAGTCTATAATGCTTGCTATTTTAGGGAAGAACTAAATTGGTAGGGAAAGCAACAGGAACTGGTAGAAGGAAACAAGTTTATTAAAAAGCCAGCTCTGGCAGTCAGGCAGTGGTGGCACACAACTTTAATCTCAGCATTTGAGAGGCAGATGCAGGCAGATCTTTGAGAGTTTAGAGTTTAGGGCCAGACTGGTCTACAAAGCAAGTTCCGGGACAGCCAAAGCCATTACACAGAGAAACCCTGTTTCGAAAAACAAAAAACAAAACAAAAAAAAGCCACCTCTGAGGCAGGCAGT